CACCAGCACACGGAGCCTCCCGCTCCGCGCCCCGCGCCAGGCCGCACTCACCAGTCTGTTCTCATCAAACACTTCGAAGAGGAGGCGGTGGTTGGTCGGGTTCACCTGTGAAAAACACAGGCAAAAAGCGTCACTTTGGGGTCACCGACCTCGCAGAGCCCGCGACAAGTGCTAGGCCGTGCACGGCTAGGGCAAGGCGAGCGCGGGACGACCGACAGGTTTGTGTGGAGCTTCGGCTTAACGGGAGCAGCGTAGCTCCTCACTGCTGCCCTCCTCTTCAGGGGACATCTGGATGTACTTCATACACATGGGCTGCCCTGCTCGGGCGCCCGCGTCCCGCCGGGGCCGCCAGCGAGGCCAGTGCCCGCAGCGCCAGGCCCGGGCCTGCCCCGAGGGCTGCCAGGGGCTCCAACACGCGGCATTGAACGGGGTACAGAGCACTCCGGAGATCTATATTCATGCTAGCTGGTCACAGCACCTTTCAGAGCTATTCTGTCTATGCTTAAGGACAAAAATTCTATTTAAAACCCCGAAAGCAGTGTGTTAACCAAAATACAATAATTTAAATAGTTCCCACAAAAATATAATCCAGATAGTCAACTGCTGCGACTCCATAAACAACCGTCGCGGGCTACTGCTTGCAACACACCACAAAGGCAAGGTCTGTTCTCGAGCAGCTGTTTAAGATTAAATTTTAAAACTACTGAAATTTTACCTAACCTCCTTTAGTGAAAGCTACAGCTGGGCAGCTATTAACTCATTCTTCCTTGGAAAAATATTTCCACAAACTAAAGAACAAAGTTGGTTTTGCCCTATTCACTTACATGCTCTAAGTCTATTACGCTGGTTTTGATAATTACTATTTTAATCCATCTTTCTCCATTTTCAGATACTTAAAGATCCTTTTTTTTTCTGATGAAACACCATCTACTACTTTAAACTGTATTATTTTGTTTTAGGTTTTTTTTTTAAAAAAAAACTATTTTCACTTAAAAAAACCTAAAAGATAAAAATTAACTACAAGAAAAAGATATACTTTATTTTATTCTATTTGTCAAGCAAGATAAAAGCCATGAGAAATTACTTCTTCCATCTTCTTCCCCTATCTTTATACTCCTTTTTTTTTCTCCACAATAGGTTAAATTTCAGTGTTTGCAAACAAATATTTATTATTTTTTGGCATTACAGTACTAGTTCAGAACCATAGCAAACACGCTCTGCTAAAAACACATGCTCCAGCGAAAAGACTCTTTTATTGTTCAAATGCCTTGATCAAAACTTACACTAAGGTCTCCCTAACGCGTGCAATAACCCATTTCTCTATTAACCCCCTGCCTGGTTCTACTTATTCGTCGGTCACTGCGGACAGAGAGCTGAGGGGCACTGACCTTGAGACAGGGACATATTTTATAAAAATATACTAACATGGAATAAGAAAATAAACTTCCTCCCAATCATATGAAATACAGTATGTTAATTGTACATTTTATAACAATGATTCGTTGCATATAAAGGGAAACTTACTCTAAAGTAAAATTCTTCATTCCATTTTGGATTCAGTGTCTGTAAAAAGAAATTAACATTTTTACACGTTGAGGTCTCTTCAGGCCTCCCGGTCCGCAGGCACCAAAACGGGCATGCACATTGTTAAAGAAACCCTGAACGGAGGAAAACGCATCTCGTACCAAACGCAACAAACAACACTACTGCAAGCGTGATTTAGAACTTCTCTATTGAGCAACCCCAGGGTGGGAGAGGATTTGAGTCAGATGATCCCGGAATAGATGCCAAGTATAAATACGGTTCTATGAGTAAAAGGCAAATCACCAGGAACCTATAGAAATAATAACCCCCAAAATATTTAATTCTCTACGTTCATTTATACCAGGATTACAAAAATATACACTCAGGCATATTTTAACTACAAGGTCAATTGTAGGGCGACAAAGATCAAGACTGATTTATAACGTGAATTAAAACAGGAAAAAAAAAAAAAAGGTACTCTCTTTTTTCCAACCTCTGAGAAGTCTATGGAGCACCATAATTTTGTTTTAACAATCAGAATAAAATATGCACTGATTCTGCAAACCGAAGGGCGCTTGGAGCCCAGAGCTGCTCGGATGGACGGGGGCTGCCCCGTCCCAGCACTCGCCAGCAGTGCCCGGCCCCGCGGACAGGGCTCTGTTCCACGGGAGGCCACCAGCCCCGCGGCCCTGCACGGGGCCCTCCTTCCCGCGGCCCAGGTCTGCACCGAGGGCCGAGGAGGGCGGCCTCGGCCCAGAGAGTCCCCTGCCCACCGCGCGGCCTCCTCAACGGGAGGCTCATGCTGCCGCGGAGGCGCTGCCACGTGGCCAGCACAGCCCGGC